TGTGTGATGTGTGTGTATGTGTGTGGTTGCTGTGTGTGTAAGGGTGATGTATGTGTGTGGGTGCTGTTAGTGTGTGGGTGTTGTGTGTGCTGTGTAAGGGTGCTGTGTGTGTGTGGGTGCTGTTTGTGTGTATTGAATACAAACATGTTTGTAGCAGATGGCACTGTGGCTGTCCTTAAAAGATGAGAATCCTGCAATTCGTGTGTTAATTCTGTTTTGTAATTCCCTGTAACTAGCATTCGTATGTTTGTTCGGTAGTTTCCGTATGTATTTCATACGAATGGAAACTACCGAACTAATAGACCTCCCCAGAGTGAAGTGTGTTCCCAATTAAGTGTCGAACAGGTGTTATCCGCAGACTAATAGGTGGTTTATTACTGTATCTGGGTGGCCACCATTCGACATATGAACACGTGGCGAACAGGTGTACCTGTTAAGCTTGGGGTACATCCAGAACTTGGGGAAAACTGTATAATGGAATTAGGTGTCATACTAAGGGGAGGAGAAGTGTGGGAGGTAACTGCTATTTCATTGGGTACTGTATTAATGAATGTGAATCCTTCCCGTGCATGGGAGAAATGCTTAAAAGGAGGTTGTGTGGAATAAACATCAGTTCTGCTCCTGATGCTGTGTGTCGTCCAGTCATTGGGATCTGTATGGGGATATTCGTGGATTACATTGCTTATTGGAATTATTGCTTCTTGGGATTTTTCATCACTTGTTCCTGAGCCTCACTGGGATCTTAGTGGAGTTAACCTGTGAAATACCAGGTCTCCGCTACAATGTTTAATGTTTTTTAAAGTACAGACATGATTTATTTTGTTGTACATATGTGTATAATTTATTTCTATGTTCCCTATATCTTAAATCCCTAAATACTTAATTACACTTTCACTTGCCACTTTTTTTTTAAATTATTGTTGATTATCTGTACTTCCTTGCACTAGATCTAAGTTCAGCTATTTTATCCTTCTCTGCTCATGCCCATGATGAATGGGGAAACGGGAAGGGATAAGAATGAAGAATGACTTTGAGCAAAGTAACCCATTTCTTAGTTTATTGTGTGACTATACACTTTTTATCATCTTGCCTAGTCAGCCTCTCTTCCATATCTTCCAATAAAACCTCTCTGCCAACAGAACCCCATCTCTATACTTACCACCCTAATAGAAAATCTCTGTCCAAGGCACTTTTGCACTTTGCTATGTCTTAAACCTCTTCCTATTCTTCTTCTCTGATCTCCACCATCTGTATACAGCAACCATTACTCACTTACAGTCCATGCAGTCGCTTTTTCGGTTTTTGGTTTTTACCCAGTCACTCTCAAGGTCAAACCAATTGCAGACTCACACTGTTTGGAAATACAAAATAGATACATAAATTGCAGCATGCTGGGTGCTGCATGCACAAAAGTGTCTCAAGTTTAACTTAAAGGGACACTATAGTTACCTAAACAACTTAAACTTAATGAAGCAGTTTCGGTGTACAGATCATGCCCCTGCAGTCCTACTGTTTAATTCTTTGCCATTTAGGGGTTAAATTACTTTGTTTATACGGCCCTAGTCATACGTCCCTGCGTGTGACTTGCACAGCCTTCCTAAACACTTCCGGTCAACTGAGATCCTATGTTTGCACTTCTGTTATTGCAAATTATGTTTAATTTAACCCCTTCAGGACGGAGTCAATAGTGCACGTTCTGATCAAAACAAAACGTAAACAAAAATTGGAATTTGCGCTATATGTCTGTTCACCCATAATTCACTGCTGTCACATTAAGTGCCCCCACACTTATTATATATCATTTTGTTCAGGAGAAACAGGGCTTTAATTTATCATTAACTATTCATATATGGAACATAATATGAATAGTTCAAATATAGAACGTTCCATTTTCAAATTGAAATTTGCCAGATTAGTAATGTTACCTTTGAGACAGTGTGGTAGCCCAGGAATGAGAATTACCCCCATAATGGCATACCATTTGAAAAAGTAGACAAGCCAAGGTATTGAAAGTGGGGTATGTTTAGTCTTTTTTAGTAGCCACTTAGTCACAAACACTGGCCAAAGTTAGCGTTCATATTTGTTTTTGTGTGAAAAAAGCAAAAAACTAATATTTGGCCAGTGTTTGTGACTAAGTGGCTACTAAGAAAGACTGGACATACCCCACTTGCAATACCTCGGGTTGTCTACTTTTGCAAATGGTATGCCATCATGGGGGTAATTCTCATTCCTGGGCTACCATACGCTCTCAAAGGCAATATAACCAATCTGGCAAATTTCAATGTGAAAAAAATTAAATGCAAGCCTTATATGTGACTCTCTAATTTTCCAAAACACCATAAAACCTGTACATGGGGGGTACTGTTATTCTCGGGAGATTTCACTAAACACAAATATTAGTGATTTAAAACAGTAAAACATATTACAACAATAATATAGTCCATAAAAGTGCCGTTTGTTTGTAAAAAAATGCTAAAAATTTCACTTTTACTTAAAATATCATCGTTGTAATACAATTTATCATTTTGAAACACTAATATTTGAGTTCAGCGAAGTCTCCTGAGTAAAACCGTACCCACTATGTACAGGTTTTATGGTGTCTTGGAGAGTTACAGGGTCAAATATAGTGCTTGCGAATTAAATTCTCTGCACTTTCTCCCTGTGTTGTCAGGCATGTCAATCAAATTTTAATTAATCAAATCACATAATTATGTTAAAAGATTACTTAAATATACACGTAGAATTTTAATATATATGCATTTATAGGTATTTAAATTCTATGTGTATACTAATGTAATCTTTTATGTAATTATATGTATTTATCTATATATATATATTTGCGGTTATTTGTATTTTATATATAGATATATATAGATATATATATATATATATATATATATATATATAGAATGTCATTCTAAGTGTATTTTGTTACCAATATATATATATTAATAACAAAATACAGTTAGAATGAAATTACATATAAATATATAATTTATATTAAATTTTGTTTCAATATTTTATTTATTTATTTTATTATTTTATTTATTTTTGTAATTATACGTATATATATATATAATATAATATGTGTGTATATATCTATTATATATATAATATAAATACATATTATATATATGTAACGTCATTCTAAGTGTATTTTAATAATAATATATGTACTTATATTAATATTAAAATACATTACATATGACGTTACATATATATAGTATGTATATATGAGGTTACATATATATAGTATGCATAGTATGTATATTTATTTTATTTTTAAACATGTTTAATTATTTTTTTTTACACTTTCCACCAGCAGGGGGACTGTCTGATATTTCAGACAGTCCCCCTGCTGGTAGATCCACAGCCAGCTATAGGGGGCCTTATTTGCCGGGGGAGGGCTGCCTGGGCTGTCAGGCAGCCCTCCAGAAGAGGATCGCGGCGGAGGTAAGTAAATCTTACCTCCTGGGGCTCAAAGCCGTTACGGCGTTCTATGCCGCCGCAACGGCTTTAAAGCCCTTTAAAGCCAGGACGGCATAGAATGCCGTAACGGCGTTAAGGGGTTAAAATTTATTATCTCTTGCTCTGTTAATAGCTTGCTTGAGGGAAGCCAGACACTTAAACATTTATTCCAGCACTATAGTGTTAGAAATACATGTTTGTATTCCTGACATTATAGTGACATAACCGGCATTGGTAGTTCATAATTTGAAAGTTAACATGTATCAATTTATATACCGTATGTATTTGTGCTTCCATCACCAGCTAACTATGCTGGGCACAGGTGAGTTCATAGAGAAGGGTTCTAAAAAGTGAATTCCTCTTTTAGCTCAAAATTTTTTAAACTCCTTCAGGAGTTTCCATTTATTTTTTTCCTCTAAATATTATTAGTCTTCTGTAAAGTAAATAGCTTTGAGAGAGTGTTTATTCAGAGGTGAAGTAAATAGAATAATCAACACTCTAAAGCAAAAAGATCTTTCAATGATACATTTCGTGGCAGTAGACAAACAGAGCTAAGCAGGGCTTGGAAAGACCAATGTTCAACACACATCCGGTTCAGTTCCTGATAATATGAAGACAGACAATTGTAATTGTGGTTGTTTACTATTCTTCTTTAACCCCTTAGTTACCTCACTTCTTTTCAATTTTCTTTGGGACCAGGGCTGTTTATACATTTCTGCGGTGTTTGTGTTTAACTGTCATTTTTCTCTTACTCATTTACTATACCCACACATATTATATACCGTTTTTCTCGCCATTAAATGGTCTTTCTAAAGATACCATATTTTTCATCATATCATATAATCTACTATAAAAAAACTATAAAATATGATTAAAAACTTTTTAAACACACACTTTTTCGAACTTTGACCCCCAAAATCTTTTACGCATCTACACCTGTGCTAAATAGTTTCAAAATTTTGTCCTGAGTTTAGAAATACCCAATGTTAACATGTTCTTAGCTTTTTTTGTAAAGTTATAGGGCTATAAGTACAAGTAGCACTTTGCTATTTCCAAACCATTTTGTTTTTCAAAATTAACGCAAGTTACATTGTAACACTGATATCTGTCAGGAATCCCAGAATAACCCTTCACATGTATATATTTTTTAAAAGAAGACAACCTAACGTATTAAACTTGGGGTATTTTGACTCTTTTCATGCAACCATTTTACCACCAATCTATGCCAAATTTAAAAAAAAAATAATAATTGGTGATTTTTTGACACACATAGCAATTTAAGAATAGATGCACGGGGGACTTTAAGGGTTAATGCTTAACAACACCCCAATATGTGTTCAGCAATATCAACTGAGTACAGTGATAACACCGATGTATAGGTGTGTCGGGTTCTATGGGGGCTAAAATACCTTATTTGGAGGGTGTGCATTCCAGTTTACCAACTTGGAATTTTTCGCAGCTGTTCATCATGCGCCCATGTCCTATTTGGGACATTTTTCGAAGCTGACCAATGTAATTTACCCCCATCAAACCATACATTTTTGAAAAGTAGACAACCCAGGGTTTTCAATATGGGGTATGTCCAGTCTTCTTTAGTAGCCACTTAGTCACAAACACTGGTCAAAGTTAGCATTTATATTTGTTTGAGTGTTAAAAATGCAAAAAAACATTATGAACGCTAAGTTTGGCCAGTGTTTGTGACTAAGTGGCTACTAAAAAAAACTGAACGTAAAACCCTATTTGCAATACCTTGGGTTGTCTTCTTTTGCAAATGGTATGCCATCATGAGGGTAATTCTCATTCCCGGGCTACCATACGCTCTCAAAGGCAACATAACCAATCTGGCAAATTTCAATGTGAAAAAACAGCCTTATATTTGACCGTGTAACTTTCAAAAACACTATAAAACCTGTACATGGGGGTTACTGTTATACTAAGGAGACTTCACTGAATACAAATATTAGTGTTTCAAAACAGTAAAATGTATTACAACAATGATATCATGAGTGAAAGTGCCGTTTGTGTGTGAACAATGCAAAAAACTTCACTTTCACTGACAATGTCATCGCTGTTTTGAAACACTAATATTTGTGTTCAGCGAAATCTACCAAGTAAAATAGTACCCTCCCCCCCATGTACAGGTTTTAGGGTGTCTTGGAAAGTTACAGGGTTAAATACAGTGCTAGCAAATTAAATTCTCTGGACATTCGGCCTGGGTTGTCAGGCAGGTTCCCCAAATTGCAATCAATAAAATTACTTAAATATGTAAAAATATTACATAAATATGCACGTAGAATTTAAATACATAGACATATTTATATATTGGAAGTCTACATGTAAATTTATGCAATTGTTTATGTAATTATGTATATGGACATATATATTTTGTATTATTTTTATTTATATACATATATATATATATATTTATATATATATATATATCTATATATATATATAAATTCATTTTAAGTGCATTTTGATATAAATATATATATATTAATGTCAAAATACAGTTAGAATAAAATTGCATATATTTGTATAGAATTTTTTAAAATTATTTTTACATGTTAATTTATTTTCAATTAATTATTATTTATTTTTTATAATATATATAGTTATTACATATATTATATAAGTGTGTGTAATTTTAGTCAGTGTATTTTTATATTAATATATGTATATATTAATAAAAAAATACATTTAGTATGATGTTATATATAAGATATATATATATATATATACATATTATAAATAGATATAATATATATCATATATACATATATATTTTTAAATGTATTAACTTTATTTTATTATATTTAAACTTTTTAAAACTTATTTTAAACTTTTTTTAAACTATTTTCACCAGCAGGGGGACTGCCTGTCAGTTCAGGCAGTCCACCTGCTGGCAGCACTATGGACACCTATTGCGGCCATGTGGCCACTCTTTTAGAGTGGTCACATGGCCCCTGTGGGGTCCTAATTTGCAGAGGGGGGACTTTCTGGGCTGTCAGACAGTCCCCCCATAGAAGAAGAAGACCGTTCATCAGCGGGGGAACGGCAGCGATCGGTAAGTACATGGGAAAGCAAGAGTGAGGGAATGGGTTCATTTTTTAAAATTTATTTATTTTTTATTATTATTTATTTTACTGAGTGCCTCGACCTCTCAAGGCACTCAGAACAGGCAGAGCATCAGAAGCCTGCCTAATGGGGGCTCCAGGGGAGTGATTACCAGGCGGAGCAGCAGTGAGAGGGGATACTGCGCGATGCCTCGACATCGAGGCATCGCTGCAATTCCGTTAAAGCGGCTGGAATCGATCATGATCACTTCCAGCGCTCTAATTCGCCGCAGACTTAAGAACCATTTTTTGTCGGACGTACCTCAGGAAGGGGTTAAGAGCAGTTCTCTTTTTGGATGGACAGCATGTACTGGACTACGGACGGATTGCAATTTATTATCGATGGCATTGGGTTGTCTCAGGTGCAATTAGTGGCGTGGATGGATTTAGCCTGCATTTGGGCTTATCTAGTGGACCTGTGGATGGACGGCGTTAATTTGATTTAATTGGATATCATCATAACTGTGATTGAGTTTGTCATGTATTTGATCGAGAATAAATATTCTTATTATCTAGATTGAGTTCTGTATAACTAATGAAAGTATTATTATAGGAATTTGTATAATTAATCTGGTTAGTTGGTATTCATGTGAGTTTATAATATACTGACTTTTAGTAGTTATATATAAGATATTGGAGTAATACATGTAGATATCTTTTTGATTTGTGTGATTAACTTATTCCCTCTATTTTTGGGGGGGATTTGATAGTCCAGTAGGTTTTGGATATATGCCATGGATATACAATATAGTAGATCAGAGGAATAAACGATTAATTTAGTATAGTGTTGCACACTCTTTGGTGTTTTTGTTTTCTTTATTTATGGTGGAGGTTTTTTCACTATTAATATTACTTGGAATAATTGTTTCTATGCTATACTATGGGACCCCTTATATACATTGGGCCATATTACATGTGGTTTATATTTTCTTTGTTACTATCCCTTTAATATTAGGTCTACGCTTTATTTCATGTGTGTTTAACATTTGCCTCCCCTTGTGCGCATGCGCAGGCTTTCTGGCGCGATTTTGATATCTTTTTGTATCACGGAGGCTTCCGTACGAAAGGAGCTATTGAGATAGGCCGCCCGTGACAAGGTGAACGTTTTTTCCTCTATTTGCAGATCGCTTTTTGCTCAGTCCATTTATTGGGACACTAGTCATTTATTTTTGTTATTTAAATTCATCTATGGTATAATATAATAGAGGATGCCAATAAATAATATGGCGGCGGTACATAACAGTATTGCGCATGCGCATGACATTTATGCTAATAGTGAGGTTTATATAAATATTTGAATTGTGCAATAAAATGATATTTTTTAGTACACATGGTAGAACCATTTTGGGAATAACATTAGGATTGTATAATGAATATGGTAAATTTTATGTTTAGCGCATGGGACCGTGGTCTGAAGTGATGATGTCACTTCCGGTCTCGGTTCTCTGCGTTATTACTGATGGTCATCAGCTGTAAGTAATTTGTATATGTGTATATAAGGGGTTCCAGGATGGTGTTGTGATATAGCTACCCTTGATAAAGGCTACCAGGAGGAGCCGAAACGTTGGGGGACTTTTTGTGACTCGTGTTTCTGCCCATACAGGCTTGTGGAATGTGGTAAATATAAATTTTTGGAAATTGATAGCCTAGGTAGTCACTGTTATATTATTTATGTATGGTTTGTACTTATATTGTAATAAATAAATATAGATAGATACTTTTGTATCATATGGTGTGCATTCTTTGTTATTGATTAAAAAAAAAAAACTACAACACTTGCATCTCAGGTGGTCCAGTGGTGGCACGTACACAGTTCATCCTGCAGCTCCTCTGGCTGCAGGCTGACTACTCTCTCCTCCCGCGAGTACAGTGCAGTGGCTGAGCATTGCCATGGTAACGTGCAACAATGCTCCAAACTGCTGCTTGTGGGAGCAGCGTCCTGCCTCCCAGGCCCAGCTCCCTTCCCCCCTCTGCAGCAGAAAACAGCCTTGGGACCGATGAGGGAGCTCTGTGATCTCCCCACTGGCCCGAGAAGGCAGATCGCAGAGCCTGCTCGGCATGGGGCCAACAGGGGAGATGAAAGAAGCTCCCCTTTCGGTCAATGGGGAAAGGAGGCGGCTCTGCAGAAACAGGGACATTTATTTGTCCCGAGAAAGATTCTTGGGATGCCTGGACTAGCGGGCGAAAACCAGGACGACCCTGGTAAAACCAGGACGATCCCAGTAGAACCAGGATGTCTCGTCACCCTTGATATAGCCATTATTTACTTTCACTGTAGCAACACCATTACCACAGCTTTATCAGTGTTGTACTGTTGTGACCCACATCCTGTTCCACCTATATTCTGATTTGGTTGGCCTTGCTTATGAAACATTGTCCTATAAGTTCCAACAAGTAATACTGTTCTCAGGGTATAGCTAATTAAAAATACGGTAGTAAGACACAACATGCAAGTGTAATACCCTGTGAAATTAAAGCTACATTTGTCAGAAAGTGGTGATGAAATATGCACATCATTGTTTTTTTATGTTTGTTATTTACATATATATTTATACTATATCATTATTCTTACTGTTATGGAAACAAATTTATCTATAATAAAAAACATTTGAAAAGACATTTGCACATGAAAAGACTTGAAATGTAAAAAAAAGCCCAAGTTGTCATCTTTTGTAAGTGTAGATATATATACAAATATGGGATACAGCTGTGTATCTGCAAAACAAATTAACAACACGTAATGTACTGTAATATGCTAATGATAAAGTGATACTGGTTACACTCACAAGATATCAATTAAAAGAGTGCCTTAAATCTCTCCCCTCAGGGAATTGAAGCTGTGGTTTCATCCACTCTCCTTGGCTTCCAGGAACTGATGGTATCTCCGGTAAGGAATCTCAAGCATCAGTGTCAGATTAATACAAATATTCCTTTTATTTAGGCAAAAATAAGTCCATAAAACATCAAAATAATATGAAAAGTCATATATAAAAACAGTTATAAAAATTAACACTACCAAGCTGCTAAACCTAATTTATCTCTCCAAATTCTTGACGCAACAGAACTTATTACTATCAATTGATGCCGAAAAGGCTTTTGACAGGGTCCATGCTTTTTTCACCACACTACGCTTTCACCCATGGGCTTTGGACAGAATTGGTTAACGTGGCTTGGGGAGATATACTTAGAACCCACAACCAAACTCAAAATCACGGCCTATTATCCGTCCCGGTACATATTTGAAACGGCAAGAGACAGGGGTGCCCCCTCTCCGCTCTCCTCTTTGTTTTAGAGACAACCCAAACATACACGGGATACCCGTCTAGGCCCTTACGATCTGCTGAAGACTTACGTCTATCTTCTGTCCGTGCTCCCACCTCTGATGCTCGCCTTCAAGATTTCTCGAGGGCTGCACCGTTCCTGTGGAACTCGCTTCCCTCCTCCGTTAGATGCTCACCCAGTCTCCACTCCTTCAAAAAATCGTTAAAAACCCACTTCTTCATAAAAGCGTATCAATTAAACTGTTAATAGCTCCTGACTGATTCCTTTTCTGCAACTGTCACTGGTCTAATACTATCCTTACCTTTAGTGTCATTTTACCCCACTCCCTCTAGCATGTAAGCTCATTGAGCAGGGCCCTCAACCCCTCTGTTCCTGTGTGTCCAACTACATGTCTGTTCGTCCACCCATTATAAAGCGCTGCGGAATTTGACGGCGCTCTATAAATATAATAATAATAATAATAACATAAACTAGCAGCATTTGCTGACGATCTTCTGTTTGTAATCTCCGACCCTTTCAGCACTATGCCGAATGTCGTCATAGAAATTAATTTGTATAGCAAGCTATCTAACTTTAAAGTTAACTTCACTAAAAGTGAGATCCTTGCCCTAAACCTATCTTTGGAGAATCAGAACATAATCAAACTTCAGTTCCCTTTTACATGGGCCAATATAAATTCCCCCGCTGTTACAGGAGATCTCACGTGACCTCTCCAACTGGAATTTACCTCAATTTGATTGGCTAGGCAGCATTAACATTTTAAAAATGAATGTTCTTCCCCGCCTGTTGTACCTCATACAAACCCTACAGACTCTCCTTCCTAAATCCTACTTCAAAGAGGTTAGACAACAATTTACTTCCTTCATCTTGGCTTCCAAACATCCTAGGTTACCATATGACGTCCTGTCCAGACCCAAGACTCTGGGAGGGCTGGGTTTGCCAAATATCGAAATAATAAAAAAGCAGTCTTCTTAACGATAATTTACAATGGGTACACATTGAGGCGACTCTGTTTTAGGTTCCCATTTACACCATCCCTTGGCATAAATCAGGGAAGCTGTTAGTACGGCCACAACATAGTACACACCCAACCATTCTATTCACATTAAGAGTCTGGCAGGGGATCCAGCAATTTAAAGCAATAGCCCCACACCCATCACCATTATATCCCCTAACCCTAAACCCTTCATTCACTTCAGAGATGACACTGTCAGCATACAATTCCTTTCCCACATCCCCATACCTCACATGAGGAACTATATCAAGGACGCTAAGTATTTTGCCCTGTTAAAGGCTTAGTGTCTACGGAAACTCCGTTCTCAATACAAACATTTAGGTACAACCAACATATACATTTCTTGAACTCCAAACCAAACCTAACTACCAACCCACGAACACAGACAGCAATTGAGGCACACTGCACAACCCATATGCTCTCATAAATAAAAACTTGTCCCTCTTTAGCGCATTACTACAACAGGACTATGCAGACAAGCCCCCTCCATTTGCCCGGGCATGGTCCACAGACTTCAACATCAAAATGTCCCAAAAAGAATGGTCAGTCTCTTTCAGATAAATTCACAAATCCTCTATTAGCTCCCATATACAAGAGAGCAACTACAAACGAATAGCTAGGTGGCACTACTCCCCATCACACGTACACAGATTTTTCTCAAGTTCACCGGACCGCTGCTGGAGATGCCAACAACCCCAAGGCACTATAGCTCACACATGGTGGACATGCCCTACTATCCTAACCTTCTGGATTAAAATCACTAAACTGTGTAAAATCTTTACCAAATCTCTTGTACCCCTAGATCCCAAAAGCTATATTGTTCGGCCTCACTGGGGCTACATAGCATAAACCAACCAACATACTGGTAATGCATTTTCTCACAGCAGCCAATCTACTGATAACGTTCTTTTGGAAAAGACAAGAAGCACCCTCAATAAGAGAGTGGATTCAGAAGGTAATGGAGGAATTAAATGTATACATTGCATTTTACATATGTGTATCACTGTTCATAACCTTTGATTTATACAATACTTTGATGATAATATAAGATGTTGTAAACTACATAAAACACTAATGAACTTTTTGAAACGCAAAATAAAAATAAAAAAATTGGTTATGTGACAAAAGTTCCCATGTGCCCCTAATTTAACACATAGAGTACCACTTTCTACAAATATATTCTTTTGTATAGCAATTTTCAATTGTATATCAATTTTAAACTTATAGCCCCAGCTTATTACATTTTGCAAAGATTTAGCCTTAAAACCAGTTCTTTCCTTGCAATATTTGCCAAGTAACAGTCAAAATAGCTTATGTATTATTTGTCATAAAACCTGAAGAAAATGCAAGATCAAACTAGCATTGTGTGTGAATGTGACAAAGAAGCATATTAATTTCAAGTGTAGGAAGAGCAGAGATCCAGATACTACTGTCCTGTTAAACAGATTGCCCCTTCCCAGCACCAGGAACCACTGCAGCAGTGCTTGATTCCAAGAGTATCGTGGAGACATTATGGAATGCTGTGTCACCTCACCAAATATTTTGAGTTTTTCATGAAGATAGAATCTTTATAAAATACTTGCATTGACTGTGTTGGATTTACTTTAAATTCCAACATGATGAAAAGATATTATAAGACAAAGTAGGGATTACTTTGTCTTATGGTAAATTAGCCAAACTTGATAAAACTCGATAAAAGGTGGAGCTTCTGCCTACAGTCTTTGCTAAGTTCCCCAGCTGTCTCTAGAGATGGCTGTTTCTTGTAGATTGCAAAACTTAATCTATGTAGGCTCCCTACATAGAGTCTGGTGATTCCTGGCGGAGAAGAGCTAGGAGTTGAAGAAAGAAGGTAAAGGTGCCTACAGGGGTCAGCTTCAAGTAAATATTTCTTCCTTCATTTGCATGCACAGGCCTCCCCACCCCAAGCAGAGATGCCACCTTAGAGGGTCTTTGCATGTTTTGCAAAGAGCCCTGAAAGTGACAGACCTGCTTTAAGGTAGTGAAATAGAAATCAGGTTGGTCTGGTTTAAAAATCCTTAACCAGAACACTAGGGGCATGCCCCACAGAAAGCATACTAGAAAGTTGCAGACACAATACAACACTGACCACTTTTTAACAAGACTCCATACAGAGCAAAATGTCCCAGCAACTATTATCCTGATTGGTAGCAAGAGATATGTGGTTCAAATTCATAAAACACACACTATTCTGTCACTTTTATTAACATCATATGGCAGAATGGGACAGTTGGATATAATAAATGTGGCAATTAGTTACCTACTTGCAAAAATGATTTTAGTTAATCATATTTAAATGTATACATGCTTTAGATAAGTAAATACATTTCACTATTACCTAATTTGTAAACATTGCTGCCAATGTGTCTCTAATCCCTAAAACATTGCATTGCCAGTGGATTTAACAAATTGATCCTTCCTCAAGGTTAATGTGTGCAATGCAGTTGATTTATGAGAGTTAATAAGTACTTTGCCTAAAAACTTTTTTCAGTGGCTTGGAAGGGTTAATAAGTAACTAGTAAGTTCTAAGTGTTAACCAGCAGTTTAACAACAGATCTTATCTTCTATAATAGATCTCTCTGCCATTGCAACCTATAATAAAGTAGAATTATTTATCCAGTTTAGACAAGTTTTTAGAAAACCGTGAGCCTGCTTAGAACCTGCATGTAAAGCTAATTATTTATTTATTCCACTGACCTTTATTTAGAGTACATGTGTGACTAATAACTAATGTTATCCAAGAATTATTACATGTGTTTGCTCAAACGAAAACACATATTAAATTGGCAATGTCTGTTTAACTGAACAAGCATACAAAAGAACTTTAAAGAGTTTAGTAGTGTTATATTTTTTTAGCGGTTTCCAAAATAAATTATGCTAAATAAAAAGAATCAAATAAATACTCCTACCACTGGATAGAATATCCAGTCGCTTAGAGTATAAACTGGAATTAAATTAAGAATGAAAAACTCATAGTAATGTTAAATACTTAATAAATAAAGAAATGATGACAGTACAACATAGATACCCATTCCTAATAGTCAGAATCCAATGGTTAACAATCTTGCCTAATGGCGCCTAATGGCACACCTCCAAATGACCTAGTCAGAAAATTTATATAAATATATCTCTATAATGCTACAGACTACAGACTTTAATTATATCTCATGAGGTCAATGTCTGAGAGCGTAGAGATTAAAACGTCATGTCCCTGGGATAGAAAGAAATATGTATGTACCTAGGGAACTGGTCAAGAGAACAAATGCTAACTATATATCTGAAGGACTATCGGTAGCTTAATGAGAGGGTCTCAAAAACAAAGAGACACTACCTTATAAGTCTCAGAGTACAGATAGACTAATACGGTGGGTAAAAAAGACGGGCTTATGAGAACACAGCTACAAAACGCCTCAACATAGCTAGAGATAAAACTGCTACAGTTGAAAATAACCTCACACAGAACTGTAGTGTCTACGTGGAGTTCATTCTACGTGACCTGGTAAAGACTCTCCCCTCCTATCTGAGGGACACCAAACAGACCCTGACTGCATTGAATGATATGACAATACCTCCAGATGCGAAATTATGTAGCTTAGATGTTGAGGGACTCTATAGTTCCATGCCCCATAATGTAAGGATCAGGAGTGTACAATGGTTTCTTCAAACCAGGGACCCGCTGTTGAAAGATCATAAGGAATTTGTTCTGAAACTCCTACATTTCATCGTCACACATAACTATTTTCTGTTCGATGGCACCTACTACCACCAGGTGAGTGGTACAGCTATGGGGACAACGTGTGCCCCCTCGTATGCCAACCTTCACCTGGGGTGGTGGGAAATTGTCTTTAGTCCACATTTCACTTAATATCTGGGTCACATCAGTTTGTGGAGGCGCTATATAGATGACATCCTGATTATATGGACCGGCCCATAAAACGTGTTCAATGGCTTTGTAGACAAATTGAATGTGAATGATATTAATCTCAGGCTCACCCACGAGTTAGGTGGATGGAAATTTAACTTTCTGGATATCACTTTAGAGACTACCTATGACCAGTGGTGTATCCTGGTTTTGTGCTGCCCTAGGCAGGACAAAACTCAGGCGCCCCCCTCCCCCCGCGCCACCCCCACCCAACCCTTCCCCCGCCCCACCTTCTAAATACACACACACACACAGTCAGACACAAACACACACACACACAGTCAGACACATACACACACACACAGTCAGACACATGCACAGACACAAACACAGTCAGACACAAACACACACACAGTCACACACACACACAGTCAGACACAAACACATACACAGTCACACACACACAGTCAGACACAAACACACACACACACACACATACACAAACAGTCAGACACAAACACACACACTCACAAACACACACACACAGTCAGACACACACACAGTCAGACACAAACACACACAGTCAGACACAAACACACACACACACAGCCAGACACAAACACACACAAACAGTCAGACACACACACAGTCAGACACAAACACACACACACAGTCAGACACAAACACACACAAACAGTCAGACACACACATAGTCAGACACAAACAAACATACACAAACACAGTCAGACACTGTGCCGCCATCTTCCGGCTCCCAGCCTCACTCTGCGGCACGCGAGGGAGCTGAGCAGTCAGCTCAGAGGAGGTGTTCCCTCGCCAGCCGCCCGCCTGCCAGCGCCGCCCGCCCGCTCGGGATGTCAGTTAGCCGCAAGGCTAACTAGGCATTTGCCCTGGGCATTTGGGGGGCGGCGTTTTTTGCCGCCCCCTGAAAAATGCCGCCCAAGGCAAATGCCTTGTTTGCCTCGCGGCTAATACGTCCCTGCCTATGACAATCGTCTCTCTACTACCCTTTTTAGAAAACCCACAGCAACCAACAATTTTCTCAACTGGGGTAGTCATCATCCCACTGCATTGAAGAAAGTGATACCAATTGGCCAATATCTCAGGATAAGAAGGAATTGTTCCTCCCTGGAAGAGTTTAAGATAAAAGCTCAAATTCTCAGGTCCCAATTCAAAGCGAAGGGTTATTCGAATAAATGTCTTAAGACAGCATACCGAAGGGCCCTTCTAACGGAGAGAGAGGACCTTCTCACTGATAGTCCCAAGCAGGATAAGAACCAGACTATCATTAGGTGTATTGGAACCTTTGATTCTGGCTGGGATTCAGTGAAACAGGCTCTAGAGAGTTACTGCCCTCTCCTATACCAAGATCAACATCTTAAAGCGGCTCTGACCCCATTCGTGTCGCTAACGGCCAGAAGGGGTCGCAACCTTAAAGATCTCTTGGTACCGAGCCATCTCTCTTCACCTATTGGTCCAACTACATGGCTTAAATCCCCAGCAGTAGGCACTTTCCAATGCTGCCGTTGCAAGGCTTGCAAATATATCAAGAAACAATCGAAAACTTTCTCAAATTCAGCTAATACTGAGACTCATGCAGTTAAGACCTTTTTCAACTGCCAAACCTCTGGACTGGTTTACCTCCTTACTTGCAGTTGTGACTTGAAATATGTGGGCAAGACCTTTAGACTATTTAAAAATCGTATTCTGGAACATATTAATTCAGTGAATCCTTCCAGACAGACTGATACGGCAATTTCACATCATCTCAAAATAAAGCATGGAGGTTCGGCACAGTGTCTACGTTTTAACAGCATTGAAACAGTTAAGTTGGGCCCGAGAAAGGGTGATATTGATACAAAACTATTACAACGTGAGAGTTACTGGATTTATAAACTCAAGACACTATCCCCTTTGGGCCTCAATGAAGGATTTTCCTATACGTCCTTCATTTCTGACTATACCCCAACCGCCAACAATTATCAAGCACGCAATTAATATTGACATTACTACTGTTGTAAATATTGCTAATATGTAAATATGTAATTATGTTCAGTACAGTTCACCCACCTTCTGAGGGTAATTAGTAGCGTCCTTTGCTGACCCCTATTGGTAGATTTTAGTCAGTGGGAGCATTGACTATCTAACATACTGGGTCCTTCTATTTTTTACAAGATTCACATAAGTACGACTTTGCCCAATTTTAGGACAATAGCGATCCTTAATTAGCATAATATCAGTATTCACCTTGGACCCAGCATGTCAGATAAAGCCTTTTTCCCTTAATTGTTGAATAATATGCTTGAGAGCTTTTTACTCTAATTTTATCACCCGATTGCTGGGTTTACATATATTTATCTATATAGGGCATTGGTCAATTACTGACCTTTTAGGTAGCCATTTACCTCTGGACCTCTTTTAGATTCGGGTCTAACTGTAGGTGAAATTGATATTTCTCTCTATGTGTTACATTACAATCAACACATAAATATGGTTGCAAATTTGAACAGATTAGGTGTATCTTTTTATAAGTATATTATTATTAAATACTAATTTATTAAATGGGATAGATACACCGCGGATAAGAACATATGGTCTGATACTATCGGCAGTATACATACCCGGCTGATTTAATCAGCCTGGTTAGTAATCGTAAACTATGTGGGGATATACATGTTCTAGCTCCTTTACAATTTATGTAAATGAGTTTAGGGACACCTCTGACACGTAATTATTCCTCCTCTAGACTAGGGACTCAAATACTTTAGTGTTTAGTTTTTATTTAAAAAAAAAAACCACGACTGCCAGTTCTTGTATGGCACAGGACGGGTTAACACTTAATTTAATTGCATGGTTTGTGCTAACCCGTCACTCAGTACACATTGAGAGACGTTGTCATCTGCTGAAAGCACGTTCATTGATTACTCTAAACTCTATCTTTTATGTATTATTTAATTGAATGGGATTACCGGATCACTATCGTTCTCAGTTCATATTATTCTTAATATCCCATCATTAACAGATTGGATTAACATGTCAAGTTGTAGGTATTCTAGTAGAATAACAGAAATCATTTCAATGTACTCAAGTAATTATAACTATCTTAGACATTCTCACAATGTATACATGGACCATTCAGTAAACCATAGGGTTAATAGCCGGTTTCACCAACGTCAGATTCAGTTTAGCATGATTGGATCATTCAAATAGCCTCATTAGCATAACGAGGTGTCGGTAGTTTGGCGCCCGAAAATAGACACACGCCTAATTCTGATAGGTCCATTTTGAATCATCAGCAAGGGATGCACATATATAAATGGAGATCCTGAGGTCAGTTTCACTTTAACCCTGACGAAGGTGCACTACCGAAGCACCGAAACGCGTGTCGGGTTTCTTTTTCTTTCTGTCACTTAACTTTCTCTGGGCACTCTATTGACATGTGCAGGCAACCAACAATCTAAGTATGGTCAGGGCTGGACTGGGGATTCCAAAGCAGCCCTGGAAAAAAAATCTATGCCAGCCCCATAAGTCATTGCGCCATATATTGTCGCATGTAATATGCAAGGCTATGTCTTGCCACCCTAGATGATTGAGATATATATATATATATTGCTTTTTCCAATATAAAATATTGGTCCTTTTAGAGTAAAATTTTTAATTATACAGTAAGCATACTCACATGCAGACACAGACAATCTCACTGACATAAGCTGATTGATACACAGCCTCATAGACAAACAATCTCACTGATATACATAAGATCATTGACATAAAAACACAAGCTCACTCAGTAGCAGACACATACACACACACACACACAAGCAAGCCCACACACTAGCAGGCACGCACACACACAGCTTAATGTAGTGGCTCTGGTGTCTAATAGCCTTCCCCTGCCTAGAGAAAAGGCAGTGTTTACATTGCTTCCTAGTGACAGACACTCAGACAGTCACTAGAGGTGCTTCCTGTGTCAGTGCGGATTGGCTGAGATCATCAAGGTTGATGATCTCAGCCGTAGAGGCAGGGCCAGTCGAGGGGAGACCAGCACGACGTGGGGGGGAAGTGAGTAAAAACACACATACACACACACATACCATGACAGACACACACCATGACACAGAGAGACTGTGACACAGACACACACACACCGTGACACAGACAGAAACACACACACCATGACAGACACACCATGACGCAGACAGACACACACACACACCATGACAGAGACACACACATACCATGACAGACACACACACACACCATAACACAGACAGACCGTGACACAGACACACACACACACACCGTGACACAGACACACATTACATGACACAGACAGACACACACACTATGACACAGACAGACACACACACCACGATAGAGAGAGACCGTGACACAGACACACACCATGACACAGACAGATACACATTACATGACACAGACAGACACACACACCATGTCATACAGACACACACACACCATGACAAACACACACACACCATGACACAGACAGACCGTGACACAAACAGACACACATTACATGACAGACACACACACACACAATGACACAGACACACATTGCATGACACAGACAGACACACACACACACACACCATGACACAGACAGACACAGACACACACACACACACACACCATGATACAGACAGACACACACACACACCATGACACAGACAGACAGACACACACACACACACACCATAACACAGACAGACACACCATGACAGACAGAGAGACACACACACACACACACAATGACACAGAGACACACACAATGACACAGACAGACACACACACACCATGACACAGACAGACACACACACCATGACAGAGACACACACGCACACACAAATGACACACACACACACACACATAATTTTTACCTGTGTGCTGGAGGCTGCATGGGGAGCTCTGATGGCGGCCGCATGGGGGAGCTGGCTCTTCTTGCGGCCGCAGAGGGAGCTCTTCTGGTGGCCGCAGGGGGAGCTGGCTGTTCTATCTCTGCTCCCCCGCCCTAGCGCGACACAAAGAGACCCAGGCCGGGATATGACGTCATATTCCGGCCCCGGTCTCATTAAGCGGCGCGTTGGGGCGGGGGAGCAGAGACAGAACAGCCAGCTCCCCCTGCAGCCGCCAGAAGAGCTCCCTCTGTGGCTGCAAGAAGAGCCAGCTCCCCATGCGGCCGCCATCAGAGCTCCCTCTGCGATCGCAGGTCAGCCAGCTGCCTGCCCGGCCCCAGGTGCCGACGGCCCACCGGGAAATTTCCCGGTATCCCGGTGGGCCAGTCCGGCCCTGAGTATGGTTCTGCACATTAGCACGCTTTAATTTCTACTTTTTCACCTCCTTTACTGGTCTTGAACCTTGCTTTGTTAAGTTAAATATTTAAGGCTGATACAGTGGCAGGAAGGGCTGTAGTGGCTCAGCCTTGAATTTCAATCTGCGACCATAAGATACACTATATCTAAGTTGCACTATTTATTCAACTGTAGCAGTTTTATTTCTAGCTATGTTGAGGCATTTTGTAGCTGTGTTCTCATAAGCCCGTCTTTTTTACCCACCGTATTAGTCTATCTGTACGCTGAGACTTATAAGGTAGTGTCTCTTTGTTTTTGAGACCCTCTCATTAAGCTACCGATAGTCCTTCAGATATATAGTTAACATTTGGTCTCTTGACCAGTTCCCTAGGTACATACATATGTCTTTCTATCCCAGGGACATGACGTTTTAATCTCTACGCTCTTAGACATTGACCTCATGAGATATAATTAAAGTCTGTAGTCTGTAACATTATAGAGATA